CCCCCAAGAATGCGTGCATCGAATTGACAGTAGCAGATGCCTTTTCTGCCCCGAAGGTAAGAAGATGTGATACGCTTTGGCAGATGGGTGATTTGGGAGGCGTAAGCCATCCAGTTAAACCAGAAACTTCTGTGATGGATGGAAAGCGCGAGCAGGACCAAACGAACGCTAAGTCGGCCCATGTTTTCCGAGAATGAGAATTCTAATGTTCAGTCTCAAGCAGGCGCTCAGGGTTCTGGTTTCTCGGCTTTAGAAGATGACAATCTTGGGTTTTATCATCCGAATTCAGATTCTGGTCAAGGAAAAGCGTGCGGGGTCTTATCCAGCCCCTAGACCGTAGAAGGCCCTCTCGCTCCATGCCTGTGGAATGCGAGAGTGTTTCTGGCTCTTACATTTCTGAAAACCCAAACACGGCCACACAGACAGAGAGTGAGCTGAGAGGTTGAGGGAGCTTTCATTTTGTCTAAGAGACTTCCTAAGAGGCTTCGTAGCAGCAGGGTGGCTGAGCAGCCCGCTGGGCTCCCCGATAGCGGTCCAGATCCCAGCCAGCTCTGTCTGTCCTGCCCAGCTCGCCACATCCAGCTCCCTGAATGTCCAACCAGACGACTGGTCCCCAGTACATCCCTGCTTCGGACTGCTCGGGCGTCTCACCTTGCCACCTCCTGCACCACCTCACCCCACCCCTCCATCTGCAGTGGGAGGAGATAGATCTGACAGCTGATAGTGCATTTGTTCTGACAAACACATGACTACAGCCCTATCAATAGCTTAGTGCACTTCAGTTCCTGTTTTCATGGAAACAAGCATGAGAATGAAAAGCCCCAAAGCCTCAATTTACCAGTGGTCCCCTAACTACCTGCTTTCCTCGTGCACTAGAGGCAGTGACTCGGCGGGGGGCTGGGTGGGGGTGGGGGAAGGCTGGTGACACCAGGCTCTAGAACAGGGCCGGGCCTACTTGGTGAGGATGCTTGGTCTTCCGACCTTTATCTGGATGACCTCATTTCAGTAAGGATTATTTCAGGATACGAAGGACAAATTTATATGGGCATATGTGTGAATGTATGAACGCATGAATATATGTATGTCTCCCAGGGAGAGAACAGCTTGAGCTCATGAGTAATATAACTACTGCATAACCCGTATTTTGGACATGTTATCAGGAGGGACCAAAGAGCCTTGGTGGCACTGTCAGCATTAGACTGCTGACAGCAAGGTCGGTGGTTCAAACCCACTAACCACTCTGCAGGAGACAGCTGAAGCTATCCGTTCCTGAAAGACAGTGCCCCGGCAACCCTCCACAGGGTCCCTGTGAGCCAGAGTGGACCCGCTCACAGTGGGTTTGAGTGTCCTGTGTGTTTGCTTATCACTGCAGGAGGGACTGCACCCCGAAGAAGTACCCCGTGCTCGGAAAAGTGGAGGGTTAGTGCGAGGTAGCCCTCAGTGAAAGGACACGGTGGCCGCATGGTGGCCGTGAGGATAGTGAGCGCAGTGTTTGGTTCTGAGAAGCACAGGGCTGCTTGGGGCTGACAACAACGTGGTCACCCCTCGCAACCACTAACCTGGTGGGTGGGGTTGGGTGGGAGGTTTGAAGTGACCCATGAGCACTGTGGGCCATATAGCAGTGGTCTGCTTCTGTAACAATGACAGCCGGGCAAAGCCCATAGAGCAGGTCTGCTCTGTACCCGCCAGGCTGCCCAGGGCCTTCCTGGATGGCAGGGCAGTGGGAGCACTACGTGTGGGCAGGTCATCGATCTGGACGTCATTTGTGGATGCGTGCTATGTGTCTGTAAGCAAAGGGGCTTCAGAAGGTTCATGAGAAGTTGGAATTTAAAAATAATGAAATCTTTCCATGAACTTTTGAAGCTCCTTCGTATGTACGTGTATATATGTGTGTATGTGTATGTGTGTATGGGTATAGCCACGTGCATATGTGTGCACACAGTCACACACACACATAAATACATGCAAGCACACACACAAGTCCTTCTGATCCAGAGGGTGTGTCTGGCAGTTGCATCCTGTGCTGTGTTGTGGGTTCTCCGCAGGGAGTCGCACTGCTGAGAGGTCTCTACAGGAGCCAGGGGAAAAGATCAGCTTACTCACTGTCCCAGGACCGGCCAGGGCACGTCCAGGGCCAGGCAGTGAGGCAGCCTGAGGTTTTAGTTCCTGCCTACCATTTATATGCGTGTGACCTGCGGCAAGTCCCCTCGCCCCTTTGTGCCTCCGTGTCAGCATCTGAAGATAATGATTTTTTATCTCTTTGATTGGAATCCGATGCTTGCATCAGTGGAAAGTGTTACTTGAAGATGCTCCAAGCCTTGCTGACAAGGCAAGGCTGGGGGTGGCTAAGCAGTGATTTTTTAAGGAAGGGGCTGGTGATGGGAAGGAGGGCTCTGAGCCCATGGCCAACCCCATGCCGGCCATCACTCCAAGAGCCAGCCCACACCAGGCCCGCCGCTTCCTGCTGCACCTGGGCTCTCCTTTTCGCTGGGGCCCCACGCGCTCTGCACACCCGCACCGGGGCCTTAGCTGGGCTCCAGCCAGCCCGCTGCCTTCTTTCCTTGCTCTGCCTGCTGCCCCTGCTCCTGAATGGACAGCCTCCCTCTGCGCTTGCGTCTTCTTCTCTCAAAGACTCCGCACTGCCTACCTCCTGGAGCAAGGGTTCTGCTTCTCCATGCCCCTTACCAAAGTGGCCCCCTGCTCTTGGCAGCTGCTAGAGAATGCGCTCATGGGAGCCCTAGGCAGCTAGCTACCCAACAGCCATGGAAGGAAGGCCTGAGGGAGGAGTAGAGAGGGAAGGAACAGCCAGCCTGTCCCCGAGGGCGACCTCAGGACCCACCTTGCTGGAGGTCCTTCTGAGATACCAGCGAGACTAAAGTCCATCTTTTCTCCCCCAGAAAGCTCAGGCTGACTCGCCAACAGGTGTCTTGCGTCAATGGGCAGTATTTTCTCAGCCGCAGCCCTGGATGGTAAAGTTGGGGCACAGTTGGAGAGAATGAGCGCTATGCAGATGGAACTGGGTTTCTGTGGCCCTGAAGGAGGCTAGCTGACATTCACCTTAGGAGAGTGCTCCCAGGCATCTGGTCTACTGTTTCCCGCCATTCCAGGGAGAGGAGGCTGCCCGCCTCCTGGCCTGGCTCTAGGCCTCCTGTGGAGTCTCCCAGGCAGTTGGGAGCTGCCAGGGCTGCCAGGCTGTCAGTGAGGGCTCCCTGGCCTTGTGCTGGCCATGTCGGGAGTGCGTGAGAGCTGGCCACACCGTGAGAGCAGTCTGAGCAAGGAGCCAAGGGTGCAAGGAACGGCCTCCCTTTACTGTGGTGTGAGGGGAGCTGAGATTTGAAGTCATTTAGCAAACAACCGCATGTAGAGTTAGTTCTTTTAAATTGTTTCCATCCTATACAGACTCTTTTGATTTGTGTTTTACATCATTGCCTTCTGAAAGCTCACCGAAAAATGTCTTTTGAGGGTTCCTTTCCTGTATCACAGTGCCCAACGTAGAGGCAGTGTAAGGACTAGACTCCAAGCCAAAGTCCCAGCACGAAGCTTTGATGGGGAACTAGATAAAGACATGTTGTCATCTGAGTCTTCCCTGGTCTCCCCGCAGCCCAGCCAGGGCACACCTCCTTGTCTCTACCAGTGCTTCTCAGCCTTCCTAATGCTGTGACCCTTTAATACAGTTCCTCATGTTGTGACCCCCAACCATAAAATGATTTCACTGCTACTTCATCACTGCAATTTTGCTACTGTTATGAATCGGGCGACCCCAGGGTTTGCCACCCACAGGTTGAGAACCACTGCTCTAGACACACAGGTAGCGACTGCCTTCTGGTTTGTCCTCCCCACCCTCCTCACTGGCAAAGCCCAGAGAGGTGGGTGGTCTATGTGAGCTTTCTGGACTCCCTAGAGCCCAGAGATCCTGTCACTAGGAGGACATTTTCGCATAGAGAGTTCTGACGAGGGGCTGAGGGGGACTCAGTTTGTGACCTGCGCGTCCTCCTTGCAAGCCAGCAGGCCCCTCAGCACGCACAGCAGCAAGCTTTGGGGATGTGGGCTCTGGTTCCTCAACCTGATTCTAAATCTCCCTGGGGGGAAAAAGTCCATAGAAATTATACTTCTGGGTGTTAACCTAAAGAAATAAGAGATGGACACAGATTTAGAGATGAGATTGTTCACTGCAACATTGTTTTCCGAAGTAAAGCCTGAGTAAATAGGGGTCAATTTCTCAACTGAGTATTTCTCAGAGATACTGTGGTCCCACGCAGCACGACTTTTTCGGTGGTTCTCAACCCCAGGTTCCTAAAAACTACTGACTGGCTTAAGGACAGGCGCGTGGCTTGTGCTATGGGCAAGATGGTTATGAAACTGGAAAGATATTTATCAAAATACTAACAGTATTTGCCTCTGAGTGGTAGGACAGTGCATGAGGTTATGTTTGTTGAATAGATATGACTTTGATCCTAAACACCGATGACCTTTCGGCTAACCCCGGGGCCCACCTGTGAGTGCACGTTCTGGATCAGTCGACCAGGGAAGAGCAGAGATGCCACAGGTCTAAGGAACTGCCAGGAGGAGTGCTGGTGCCGCTGGGCCACAGAGCAGCCTTTGAGTAGCAGGCCCTAGCAGGGGCTAGAGCGCTTCCTCCCTCTGAGCTGCCTCCTGTTCAGACCACTCTCCAGTGGCAAAGGACAGGACCCAGCAGGCCTGGTTCAGCCTAAGGCCATCCCCCTGCCATGTTCCCTCACAGGAGCTCATGTTGTGACTCTCCTCCCAAGGCCCAACATCCCCAGGAACAGCCCAAGTGGCCTGACTCATGTCCATGCTGCCAGCCTTCTGGGGAGGTCCTGACCCTGCACCCATTGAGGCCAAGGACCCCTAAAAAAACCCTGGCCAAGGTTCACCGGCTCCCACGGGCCTCCCTGGGTCTCCACAGGCCAGGCTCCAGGCATCTGGCCTCTAGCTTTATAGGGAGACGTCTTCTCTCCTCAGTGGACCAGCAACTTCTGCAGACGTGTCTGCTCCCAGCAAGGGCTAACCTGCAAAGGAGAGCTGCCGAAGCAGCAGGGGCCGGGCTGGAGGATAGCTTCCATGATTCCGGAAGCAAGCATAGCTTCAGGGAAACCTGTACTGCGGAACGAACAGGCTCCCAGAGCGCAGAGCCAGACTAAGAGCGAGCCTGCGCCAGTGGTTTCCACCTAGAGACCCGCAGAGGGATGACCGTGGGCGGTGGAGACAGAGGTCTGCCATCCAAAGCCCCAGGGTGGCCCCTCACCTACTTGGGTACCTTCCGCTTCCGCATGTGCAAAAGGAGTGATTTTTAAAAACCCAAATTGTACTGGGTGTCGTGACAGAGACAAGTAGGTACAGGCAGCCTCACTAGGCCCTGGACCAACCGACTCCTGGCTCACCTACAATCTCCCACTCACAAAGGCGGGAAAGAACTATTGGGGAGCCAGCGGCTGTCCGCACAGGTAGAGGGAGGGGCTGTACACAGGGCAGCCACCTCGTCCTGCAGGAGGCTGGCATACCTGACTGCTCGATCCTGAGTTGGCCAACTCCGTCTCCCCAACTGTCCTCCAACGCTCACCTGTGGCTCCCCATGACATCTCTCTTTCCAGAACACAACGGAGAACGGAACCTTATGCAGGGCCACGACTGTGCTGTGGCAGGCCTACAGCCAGCACAGGTGCTTCCAAAGACACCTGAGTGGGCTCTACAGAAGCATCAGCAACATGACGAACATGGTAAGAGGCTATCCGCTGACGCTGGGCGCCTGCTCCTCCTCCACCTCACACGAAGCTCTTCCCCCACTTCCTTTTATTGCTCGGATCAGCCCACTCACGGCTCGGTCCACAAGTCCTGTTGAGGGTCTCCTAATGGCCAGGTGCCTTTGTCGCCGTCCCCCACCCCCCCACCCCCCGCCAGCCTGAGGTGAGATCAACAGGCAGCGTCCCTGCTCGAGTGGAGAGCGCAGGTAGAGGAGTTAGAGAAACCATCAAAGCACAGAGTGTGACGTGCAGCAGTGACAGGTGTCATCAAGGATGCGGCAGAACCAAGCACACAGGGTCATGGAGGCGGGCTGTGTGTGCTGGTAAAGAGTTAGCGGCGTCCTCTGAGCAGACATTGGAAGGGAGAGAATAGACAGGTGACCCACTGAAGAAAGCATCCCAGAAAGGGCCCGAGGTGGAAAGGAGCTCCGCATGTCCAAGGATCTGTGGGGTGGGGCAGGGAGCATGGATGGGGAGTGTGGGAGGAGGTCTTTGTATCACACGGGGGTCTCTGGACCCTGTTGGGAAGCACCTGAAGAGTTTTGAGCAGGACAGTGTCCGGTCTGATTTGTGTAACCGAAGACGATCGCTCTGTGGTCGGTGGGGAAACAATGGATAGGCATCAGAGTAAGAACAAATGGCCCGGTGGGACGCCGCCACAGCAACCTAGGCTAGAGATGTCAGGGGCTTGGGCAAGGGCGGTGGCAGTGGAAGTTGTCCGATTGGGGTTCTCGTTAAAAACACAGCCAGGTGAACACCCGGACAGATCACAGGTGAGGAAAGGAGAGGAGGGGGAGGTGAGCTCTCGGTTCCCAGCCAAAGCCCCCTGGGGGGTGGCTGGTTCTGCTTTCAGGGATATGGTAGGCTTGGGGCTAAGCAGGGCTGGAGGTGAGCGGAAGCTCAGGAGTTTAAGTTTGTTCCTCTGAAACTTGCGGTGCCCATCGGACACACAAGTAGAAATGTTGAGAAGACGGCTGAAAGGTCCGGAGTTCAGGGGAACATAAGAACCCTGGATATAAAATGTAGAGTCCTCCGATGTTCTCCAAGTTACCAGACTGAGTGGGCGAGAGACAGGAAGGGACCCAAGGGCGGATCTCAGAATCCGCAATGGTTCTCAACCTGTGGGTCGCGACCCCTTTGGGGGTCGAATGACCCTTTCACAGGAGTCGCCCGATTCAAAACAGTAGCAAAATGACAGTGATGGAGTAGCAATGAAAATAATTTTATGGTTAGGGGTCCCCACCACATGAGGAACTCTGCTAAAGGGTGGCAGCAGGAGGAAGGCTGAGAACCACTGCATAGAGGTTAGGAAGAGCAAGAGGATCCGGCACGAAGCCGAGCTGAGCAGCAGCAGCCCATCAAGCAGGAGGCTGTCCAACTGTGAGTGGTGTCTCAGAAGCTAGGAACTCACTCCCGGGGGAGGGAGAGGCAGTCGGTCTGCTGGACTGCAGTGTCAACTAGGATGAGCGCTGAAGATGGCCACTGGGATGGGCAAATGGAGAGCCACCGGCCATGCTGACCGAAACGGCCTCAGCGGAGAGAGAGGAATGACAGTCTGACTGGAGGGGTCAATAGAGAATGGGGACAGGGTGGAAGAGCAGTGACCCTCCATCTAGAAAATGCTTTGGAGGTATTTAGCTGTGACGTTTGCAAAGAAATGGCACCATAGGTGAAGGGCAAATCGGGGCTGGGGGAATTCTTTCACGAGCTCGCAGCCAAGTTGACCCACCCATGGGCATGACTGATTGGAGGAGGGAATTGAAGGTGCAGTAGGCAGGGAGAATAACCAGAAGACCAGAGGGGTTATTTAAAACTTGAGTGGAAGAACTTGCAATGGATAGGAACGGGGTCACCCAGCCTCTTCTGGGTCTGCTGCCTTATTTATAAAATGAGGTCAGGAAATAAGGGGGTACACATTCTCTCCTTTCCTCCTTTTGAGTATCTTATCAAGTGGGTCTTGTTAGCTCCATTCTACAAGGGAGGAAACAGAAGAGATTTTTCTAAATGAAGTCGATGATCCCAGGCAATGCGATGAATAGAAAAAGGAGGCTTCAGAAGGTTTGTGGGACAATTCCACGCTCTTCTGTGTTTGCCTGATCCCCTGACAGCCTCCACGAAGTAGAGTTGAGATTCAAACTGACACAGTGGCCTGGTGGCAGTTCCCTAAAAGCCTTCCCATCTGCAGAGCTGCAATGTGGTGTCTACCAGGCCTCCACCTCTCCCTCAGCAGTCCAGGTGCCAAGTGCAAGGCCCAGTGTGGCAGTGGGTGGGTCTGAGCCTGCACCTTTTGCTACTTCCGCTGAGCAGCATCTAGCTGTGCCAGACCTTTCCAGAGATGGTAGCACCCCTGAACTCAGGGGTGGTGAGGTAATCATTTCTAGGAGTGCACGTAACACCTGGAAACATGTAGATGCTGCTGGTCCAGGGGCGCAATCAGACTTTCGATCCAGCTGGAGGGTGGGGGCTGGGTGAGAAGCTGCCCAGATGGCAAGTGCTTGAGTAGGACTGACTCCAATAGACAGCCAGGGTAGCAAGAGTGAGACACTTACCCACTAATGAGATGTTTCTTTTGTAATGAGATGTTTGAAATGCCAAGCTAATGAGATGTTTCTTTTGTAGACCCACTGTCCTATGAATGAAAACAGGACCAGCACGTTGAAAGAGTTCTTGGAAAGCCTAAAGGACATCATGAAGAAGAAATATTCAAAGTGTTAAGGAAGACTATTTTAATTTATGCATTTAGTTTTATTTTTTTAATATTTATATATTTATAACTCACCCTGAAATAAACTATTGTAGAATTCTGAAGGTGCAGCATCACTTTATGTTTACTGGACACCCGAAATCATAGTTTGTAACTTTGGGGGAAACCAATTTACTTTACCAAGAAACCCTTGGGGAGCTAAAAAGGCAAAGACCAATTCCCTCTCAAAAAGCCCCCAAAAGAGGGGCAAAAGCATACAATGATTAAATATGAGGCTACATGGGATGTGACTGGTAGTAAGAGAACTTGCGGCATGGACCCATGTGTACTCAAACACTTAACTACCAGTAAGTCTATTGCAACTCCTAGCACCCCTCTAGGACAGAGCAAAGCTGCCCCACTGGGTTTCGGACCGTAAGTCGTTGTGGATTTCTCCCCATGCACACCACTGATTACCATAGACTTTGGAACCGAAAAGGTTATCAATAGGTGTTTTGAACAATCCTCTCAGTGGCATGAGAGGAGTTAAGGTGAGTCTGTACAGAGGTAACCTGTAGTTCTGGGTATGGCTCCTCAGTAAACAAGGTCTTTTGACTGATAATAATGACTACGTGGACTGTAACACATCATGGCTAGCACTGTGAAGAACGGGGATTCCAGACACTTCATTGCGCATAGATCAAGGGGAGACTATCCGGTTCGACTAGATGGTCAGGAGAGGGCTGCTTTAAGGTTGTAGCCTCTCACCACACTTCTTCCTCCTGTGTTGAGCGAACCATCAGAGAAGCTGGCATATATGAAGAAGAATGCAGAATCACCATTGAAGGAAGGCTCATTAGCATAACATCTGCCATATGCAAATAAGACACCCTTCCTTGCCGAAAGTGAGAAGCTGAAACGCTTACTGATGCAGACCAACGTCAAGAGCCTTCTGCGTGGATCTCACCTCCACAGAAAGCACAGGTCCTCGCGACTAAACCAGTACGCAGCAACATGATAAGTGAAGAAAAACCGTGAGGTTGTCAAGGATTTCATTTTACCTAGATCCACAAAGACCCATTCCCACGGAAGCAGCAGTGAGGAAATCAAACGGTATGCTGCACCGGGCAAATCTGCTGCAAAAAATCTCTTTAAAGTGGTAAAAAGCAACGATGTCGCTCTGAAGGCGTGCTGGCCTCAAGCCACGGCGTCTTCTGACACCTCATAGACACGCGAAAGCTGCCTGAGCAAGCTGGACACTGACTGAGGCAGACCGCAGGAGAACTGATGACTGAGTTCTGGTGACGAAGAACCGTGCATGTACTACGATGGGCTACAGAACAAGGCTACCAGCAAGTCTATACTGGGAGAAGCACAGCCAGAATGCTCCTCCTTACAAGCAAGGATGAGGAGATGCCACTGCACAGGCCTTGGCCATGTCACCAGGAGGGGCATCGCGCTTGCTAGGGTGACGTGTCAGTTAAAAAAGAGAGAGGCACCCTAAATGAGCAGGGTTGCCACAGCGGCTGCAACAATGGGTTGGGACACCGCAGTGACCGGGAGCCTGGCACACATCTGGACAGCGGTCCCTTCTGTTGACCACAAGGCTGCTCAGTTGGAACCAGCTAGACAGCAGCTCAGAATAATGACATCATCTAATAGTGTAAAATCGGCCGAGTCACAAGCCTTAGAGCCAACCAAGCGACCAAGTAGAAAAGACCGTTGTGGCTCTGGAGCCCTGGTGGCACCATGGTTAAAGCAAGCATACCAACAGCTGAGCAGTTGAACCCTGCAGCTGATCCGACAGAGTCTGAAATATGTGGCAATCAGCTCTGTGAAGACCTACAGCCTTGGATGGGTATACCAGGAGCAGGTCTCTTCTGTCCCCGCGAGTTGCTCCCAGGTCCGTTCGAGAACAGGCTATCAATACTGCCAACCTGACAGTAACTAAGACATGGTTGCACGTGGCTTGGGGGTGAAAGCAGATATGAACCGCAGGAAGGGCAGTAACACCCTCTGCTCCCATGAGGTAAGGTAAGCAGTGCTCAAGACTGCCCAAGGTTGATGCAGCAAGAACCAGAGAGCTGAGAATTTATTTAAAATTGCCAGGGTCACGGAAAAAAAATAATTTCTACAAAAAATTTGAAAAGGGTAGTATAAATGATCTATACCATCATTTTTCAATGGGGAAATCAAGTCACAGAGTCTGAAGGCAAGAAATCAAACAATAGTTCATTAAGAGCGATGGTGAGCTGATGATTGCACCTGGGGATGGGCACGTGGGAGTTTATGGGACTGTGCAACATACGCTTGAAAGTAATAAAAAGGTAAATAAAGTGCTTAACCAAAAACCAATAATGCTTTTAAAAAAAGAAACAAAAATAATCATAAGTGAATTGTATTAGTCTGGGTTGACTAGCGAAACAAATCCAAAGACACTCATATGTACGTAATCGAGAACTTTATGTCAAAGAGTAAATGTATACTAAGAAAACATCCCAGCCCAGTCCTGACCAAATCCGTAAGTCCAATATTAGCCCATATGTCCAATATCAGTCTGTAAATTCCTCTTCGGACTCACACAACACATGCAATGATGCAAAATTCAGGAAGATCACGGGCCAGTGGGTGGAAAGTCTTGTGGATCCAGTGGCAGTGGAAGCATCTGTGTTGGCAGGGGTCTCCACATGGCTCCTTCAGCTCCAGGGTTCTAGCTCCATGTGGCTTGTCAGCAAGATGATGAAGCCGACAGTGAGTGTGTATCTGGCTTCCAGTGAGCTATTGATCTCCGCGTGCCTCCAAATGAGGTCATCAAGCTGCGACCCGATTGACAGGCTAGACTCCACCCCTTCGCAAGTTGACAGATTATGTAACTGCCACATGAATCCAGACCTATTTCTAATTCTGATGGTAACCCCTGGAAAAATTTACCCCGAAACAGGGACGGTGGCCGCTGTGAGAGTGGGGCTTGGAAGGAGGAGAGTGAAGCAGGTCTGGAGGGTACTGGGTTTCCCTGGGTAGGTTTGTGTGTGTGCCACTATGCGCCTCAATGCAAAAATGTCAACAATTAAAGAACTACAGAGAAAAAGGCAATAACAAGTGTTGCAAGGATATGGAAAGCTTGAAAGCCCTATTCACGGCGGAGGGAGGAAGACGAGGCTCTCTGCTCCCGTAGAGTGACAGTCTCGAGGAGCTGATGCCGGGGCTTACGTGGAGCACAAATGGTTTGAGAATGCTGAGGGTAACGAATGTACAAATGTACTTCACACAATGGATGGATGGATGGATTGTGGTAAGAGTTTTATGAGCCCCCAGGAAAATGATTTTAAAAAAAGGTTACAGTCTCAGAAACTCACACGGGCAGTTCTACCCTGTCCTTCGGGGTCGCCAGGAGTCGGCATCAACTTGATGGCGGAGCTGAGTGGATGCATGACTGGTTGGGTTGCAAACCAGTGCAGGCACTTTGGAAACCAGCTTGGCAGGTCCTCAAAGGGTTACCATATGACCTAACAGTTCTACAATTCTCCTCTTGGAATATACAGAACTGAAACTATAATCACACAAAATCTCCACATGGAGGTTCATGGCAGCATTGTCCAGCACAGCCCACATGTGCACAACGGAAAATGAATAACTAGAACGTGGTACCACACATCCAGCGGACTGTTATTCAGCCAATGGAAACAAAGGCCCGATACATGCCGAGACATAAGTGCCCCTGGAAAATGTTATGCTGTGTTAAAGAAACCAGACACAAAGAATCCTTTATTATATGATGCTATTTACATCAAGGTCCAGGAAAAATTCATGGACACAAAGTAAGCGGGTGACTTCCAGGGACTCGGCGTACAAGGAAATGGGGAGCGCCTGCTTATGTGAGGGGGATTCTTCAGAGATGATGAAAATGTTTGGAAACTAGTGGGGATGGTTGCACAAATCTTGTAAATATATGGAAAGCTCCTAGATTGTATACTTGGAAAGAATGAATCTCACAGTATGCAAACTACATCTCAATAAAGCTGTTCTTTCAAAAATGCAGGGGGCGGAGGAAGAAAACCAAAAGGTGGCCAACGGACTTGCTTGCTGTGGCCCTTCCACTTTGGTTCTTTGCAAAGAACAGCTTGAGAGTTTCTTCTCCTTAGCCCCCGTCCCAGCCCTCTATCCCAGAGGGCTTCGCTCAGCCGGCCTGACATTTCCTGGATCAACTGTGAACAAGGATGGTGTGATACTTCCTGCCAGGCCCTGAGCTGCACCCTGCCCTGATTGGATGCACCTTGCAGGAAGCGGGCCATGGACCATGCAAAGAAGCAGGTGTCGCCTACTCTATAGGTGAAGTGTCTGTAGCCTACTGAGAGGGAAGTGGCCAGTCCATGGCCTTGGTGGGAGGACCGTGCTTTGAGATCAGTGAGAAGTGTGTAGATAGAAGCAGTTTTTGAGACAGAAAGCAGCAGCAAGAGGTAGGCGGAGGAAGAAGAAGGGGGGAGGGGGGCAAAAAGGGCTAAGAAGAAGCAATGTGACTCCTAAGAGAGCAGTTAACACAGATGGGTTAAGGGTTGCAATGCTAAAGACAGTCAGAGGGACAGAGGGACAGAGGGACAGGGTGGCAGAGCTGTGACCACAGACAGCAGGGGAAAGAAGAACCTGTCCTTTGAGGCCGAGAGAAGTCTGTCTTGTGGGGGCTGCGAGGAGCTGAGACAGTTGTTCTTATGTAAGGGAGACTTTGTCTCCATGCTTCCTGATCCTGATGTACCCCGCTCCTCAATCAGCCCCGTAACTCCAAGTGCAGCTGCTGAGCGCTGAGACTGCAGTGGATGGCAGAAACGGAACGAGGGAAGAGTGCTCCGGGCGGGAGAGTGGCTGGTGACAGAGATGCAGGGTGCAGACGCTTGAGGGACGTGGAAGCCAGGGGTGTGTGTGTGATACTTCACCTTCACCCCATACCAATCGATTCTGTGATGATTCTTATATTTGAAGTTGTTCATACACCAAGTATCAAGCCATCGAAACCTGTCTTTTGAAGCCACATGTTCTC